ACAACTCCCTGATTTTTGTCTTCCTGGCCAGTTTTGTGCTTCTAGTCTCATAGTTCCATGCAGCCACAGGGCTGTCCCTTGCCTGTGGGAACCTTGCTGTGGTGCTGATGGGGCCCATTGGTGGCAGCAGCAGGACCCTGGGATCAGCCAGGTGCCTGGAGGGATGTTGGAGCCCTGTGTTTCAGGGGAGAGTCACTGGGCAGTCCTGCCTGGGGGAAACCCTGTTGTCACCCCAGAGCTCACCATCACCTGGGGAACTTTCTTTTTGTTGCATGCATTAGGGAGCAGAGGACTGCAGGTGCTGGTCTGCAGCTCTGAGGGGATACGGAGAGCTCAGCCTCTTCCTGAAATTCGGGGCTCCAGGGCACAGGGATGGCACCACTCGCCTTTGTGCCCACATGGACAGGCAGTCCTTTGCAGGAACAGACCTTTGGTACAGATCTGCAACACTCCTGCTCCCTGCCAGCCCACAGGCCACCTCTCCTGGCTCCCACTGGCTGCTTGGAGCTCGGGAAGTGCCATGCTCACTGCATGGCATCCACAGCAGCATTCCACAGTGCTGGGCTGGGGCTGCCGGGCTGGCCACGCAACGTAAGGTGTTCAGGACATTACAGAAACCAGTATGTTCAGGGTTCTGCCTTGGCCAGGTCAGCCTGGTTGGTGCCTTCGCAATCCTCAGTGAAACAGGCAATGAGTCTTTTAAGAAGGGAGGTGGTGCAGGACGGAGCTGAGCAGCACAGGGCAGCCCCTGTCATGAGGGCTCCCTGCAGCTGCTGTGGTGGTCTCGTGTGGCGGCTCCAGTGGTTGGTGACACTGCTGTGCCAGGCACAAGGGGCCATGCACCACCTGGGGATGATGGGCAGGACCCTGCCTGGTGGTCAGTGGCCATGCAGGGCAGCCCTTTGTGTGAGCTCTGCTGGTGACAGAGGACAGTTGTCCCCAGTGGCAGCAGAGCCAGGAGCAGGGCTCCTGCTTGCACCTGGGTGGTAGGAGAGGGAGCCTTGCATGGAGCAGGGAGCTGAGGGGATGCAGGAGGATCTGCAAGTGCTTTGAGAGACTGATCCACCACCAGCGCTGACGCTGCCACAGCCCCACTCTCCTCTTCCCTGCCACCCTGGCCCTCCCCAGGGAGGATCTGGGAAGGGGTCCAGGTGAAGTGGCATCTTGGCGCAGCTCCCGGGGCAGTCCTGCCCGTGCCCTACACTGCCCTGGCTCTGGGAGAGGTGCAGTGTGAGTAGCCAGCAGTGCTGTGGGGCACAGGCCTGGCCCCACCGTCTCTGCTATCATGCTATTTTTGAATTCTCTTTTTTTTTTCTGTTGTGTTTTTTTTTCTTTTTTTTTTTCTTTTTGTCGTTTTGTTTCTATTTCCTTTCGTTTTCCTTTTTTTGTTCTGTCTCCTCGTGTTTGGTCCCTAGGAGCCAGCGCTAAGAAACAGGGCGAGGACTTAGCGGATAATGACGGTGATGAAGACGAAGGTATTTCTGTGCTCGAGGCTGCCACTGCATGACACGCAAAGCAGCTCCGTTTGCCCGCCATCCGCTGCCACTCCCAGGGAGCCCTGTGTGTGTCTGTCTGCCGTGCCAGGCAGCTGCGCGGGGTGGGGGGCAGGCTGGCCGGCTGTGCAGGGCACCCAGGACCTTCCCCTCCTCCTGAGGGCGGGGGAAAGCTCATGGGGGTTTTTTTTTCTGCCTTAGGAGAAGTTTGCTCCTGCTCAGTTTGAGCGAGGTGCAGGGAGGAAGCATGGCAGCTTGGGAGGAGAGGAGCCCTCGGGCACCTGGGCCCATTTCACCCTGAGCCCGGTCACATCCCACCTCCAGCCTCATCCCCCCGGAGCCGTTTGGATAAGTGCAGCTGGGAGCCAACAACCTCCCCCTCCACTCTTGCCTGGCCCCGCCACGGGCACCAACCCAGGGTGGCTGTGCCAGCAGCCTGAACCCTTGGCACTCAAAGGGTATCTGGCCATGCCCAGGAGACCCAAGGTCCACTTGGTTTCTGTTAACTTCTCTACTTCCTCACCCACTGGAAGTGAGGTCTTGCTTGCAAGCAGAGCATCAGCACCAGTCAAGGCAGAGCAAGTGGGCTTTCAAGCAGATGTGATTCTAGATGTACACCAGGGCTAAGCAAGCTGCAGGATAAGCTATTTTTAGTAAAACGGGGTCGTTCATCTGCAGGGTACGGAGCTGGTGTGTTTGGCTGCAGAGATGTGAAGAGAGGTAGGAGGAAGATTTGGCCAGGGTGCAGCTCGAATGTGCTGAGGACAGTAAAACCTCAGGGTGTGCAGAAGACCCAGGGCAGCTAGAACACAGCCTGGCAGATGGCTTTTAGGATCTGGGAAATAGATGAAAAACTTTTTCCTTGGCAGTACTAAACCCCGGTTGTTTACTCCCGCTAACCTGTGCCCCAGGATCTCTTGTACCAGGATGTAAACTGGCATTCAGCCTGAGTGACTTGACTGTGCTAAATCCCAGCACACCAAACTGTGCTGGAGCAATTAGGAGCTGTTTATTCCCTGGTACATCTCCTGCATTGCTGACATTCTGCTGCAAGGATGTCCCTTTGTGTGTCAGTGGGAGCGTGCAGCAGGGAGAAGACATGGGCACGGGCACTGATGTTCCTGTCCTTCACATTTCAAGCAGGTGGCCCTGGAAAAAGTTGTCCTGATATAGCTCTGCCACACAGGTGATGTCTGTCCTGAAAGAGCTGCCAGCATTTTTTGCTTTTCTGGTCTGTGCATTTGACTGGCTACAACCTGGCGATAGGAAAAGAGCCAGCACAGGTTTTACTTTTGGCATAGCCTCATTCTCCTGGAGGGAAGAGGTTTTCTGTGGGGAAGGGAGGCCACCTTTAGCCATGCCATGGGCCACAGCTGAAGGTGAGGATGGCCACAGGTAGCCATCAGCCTGGTCTGCAGCCCCCCTGCAGTGGGCAAGCCACAGGGAGGAGTGGACGTGGGCAGAGGTTAGGTGGGTGTGAGAGAGCATGTCCACCTCAAGCGGGCATCAGCACTGAGATGGTGTGGCTGTGCCCCCGGAGTGCAGCCCTGCGTGGACTGTGGTGGGGGCTGGCAGCCAGGGA